AAAAAAAAAAAGAAAAGAAACTTCTTGGGCATACAGGAATTTGTGTGCAAACCTCTGCTGCCATGAAGGCCTTAAGTCAGGGTTTCTTTCTTTTTTTTTCTTCTTGAGATGGAACCTCAAGCCATCACCCTGGGTAGAGTGCCATGGCATCACACCTCACAGCAACCTCCAACTCCTGGGCTCAAGCGAGTCTCCTGTCTCTGCCTCCTAAGTAGCTGGGACTACAGGCACCAGCCGCAACACCCAGCTATTTTTTCATGGTTGCAGCTGTCATTGTTGTTTGGAGGGCCTGGGCTGGATTTGAACCCGCCACCTCAGGTGTATGTGGCTGGCGCCTTAGCCACTTGAGCCACAAGCACCAAGCCAAATCAGAGGGATTTTGCTAGAATCTTTTATAGGGAATTTTCAGGCTGGACTTCTCAAAAGTCTTTCACAAGCCCAAGTTTCATCTGTGCCATTAGATACCTGTATGCATTGGGTAAATTCCTTTTCTCTTGAGGTCCCCGAGCACATTTCCGTTCCCAGACGCGTCAGCAAGTTACCTTCATCACTTAGCATAGATCAGGAAAGATTACTGAAGGGTATCTGGCCAGTTTTCCAAAGGTTTTGGAAAACTTTTTATTGGCCTTATAAAGGCAACCTTAATTCCTTAACACAGTCTAGACATCTCTGGAAATGCCATTCCAGACAGAGCCTTGGTCAAGTTAGGCCCCCAACCAACCCATATGGGATCCTGCCTCAGTTTCTCACAAGTATGCCTGACAGTCTTTTCACTGCTCTCCCTCTAACAGCTTTTTTGGCCAGAGGTATATAGGTGTTTCGCCTATCGTTTTTCCTTTTATTTTAGAAATATATTTGTGTATATGCCCATACACACTGTATGAATGTATGTGTGTATATATGTATTTTTTTTAATTCATTTATTTCAGCCCAAGTAACTGTCACCCTGGGAAGAGTGCTGTGTTGTCACAGCATCCTCAATCTTCTGGGCAAAATAGATCGCCTTGGCTAAGCCTCATGAGTTGCTGGGACTAGAGGCATGTGCCATGGGACCAGACTAATTTTTCTATTTGTGGTAGAGTTGGGGGGGAGGTCTCACTATTTTCTTTGTTTTTTTTTTTGAGACAGAGTCTCAATCTGTCACCCTGGTTAGAGTACCTAGGCATCACAGATTACAGTAACCTCCAACTCTTGGGCTTAAGGGATTCTCTTGCCACAGCCAGGAGTAGCTGGGATTACATTCGCCCACCTCTACGCTCAGCTATTTTTTGGTGGTCATTGTTGTTTGGCAGACTGGGGCTGTATTTGAACCTTAGGTCGCCGGTGTATGTGGCTGGAGCTTTAGTCACTTAAACTACAGGCGCCAATCCAGACGGGGTCTCACTTTTGCTCAGGTTGATCTCAAACACCTGTGCTCCAGTGATCCATTCACATCAGTGTCCCTGAGTTCTAGGATTAGATACGTGATCCAATTCCCTGCCTCTCCATTATCTCTACAACTTCTGCTTGCCTGTTGTGCTGCATATTCTTACCTGCCTTTCATAATTTCCCAAATGCAGTGTATACATGCAACATTTATTTATCTTTAAGATAATTGGTGCCTCTCTACTGTATTATGGTATCTTCCTTAAATTCTTAACATGATTTTGCAGATAAAATGTGTAATATGTATTTAATGGATTCTGAGAAAAAGTGAGTGCTAAAATTGTTATTGTTTAAATTTCTTTCAGCTCTATCGACTCATTCTACCCAAGACGGTTTGCAAGAGCTCAGCACAAATATTTTATTTCCGGAGATGATCCTGGGCAGATATCAAAGTTGTGGCCCTGAGAATATAAACTTTATGAAAGACTGGGAAGGTGTGTATGAGTGTAAGGAGCAGAAAGTATGTTACAGTGGACTTGACAAATGTGTAACAGCTACCCATGACAAAGTTTTCCAATGTAGTAAATGTTTAAATGTCTTCCAACAGTCATCAAATATAAATCGACATAAGATGATATGTACCTTAGAGAAAACTTTTAAATGTAAAAAGTATGAGAAAGCCTCTAAGCTCTGCTCACATATCACAGAACATAAGATAACAAATACTGGAGAAAAACAACACAAATGCAAAGAAGGTAGCCAAGTCTTCCAATCTAGCTCAAGACTCCATGCTGGAGAGAAACTCAACAAGTATGAAAATGATGGCAAATGTCTTAACCACAGATCAATATATTGTAACTATAAGATTTTGAATACTGGAGAAAAACCCTACAAATATAAGGAATGTGACAAACTTACCAAGCAGTATTCATACATTTATGGCCATAAAAGAATTCATTCCAGAGAGAAATGCTACAAATGTCAAGACTGTGGCAAAGCCTTTAAACATTACTCAAGCCTTTCTGTACATAAAGTACTTCATTCTGGAGGGAAACCATACAAATGTGAAGAATGTGGCAAAGCCTTTATCAGGCACTCAGTCCTCTCTACACATCAAAGAATTCATTCCAGAGAGAAACCTTACAAATATCAAGAATGTAGCAAAGCCTTTAACCAGTGCTCAAGCCTTTCTGTACATCAAAGAATTCATTCTAGAGAGAAACCGTACAAATATCAAGAATGCGGTGGAGTCTTTAATGTTAGTTCATCCATTACTAAACATAAAAGTATTTACTCTGGAGAGAAACCCTACAAATGCCAAGAATGTGGCAAAGCATTTAAACAATCCTCACATCTTTCTGAACATCAAAGAATTCACTCTGGAGAGAAACCCTACAAATGTCAAGAATGTGAGAAAGCTTTTAAATGCCACTCACACCTTTCTGTACATCAAAGAA